GTGCTTAAAGAAAGCAGGTGTGAAGAGAAACTGGGTGACGATGAATCTCCTGAGCTAACATTGTTGGGGGGCATTTTCATTTCGTATGAAAGTGCATGAAGAAGAGATTCGTAGATCAATCTCACCAGAAGAGGACGAAGGAATCGCGTTGTACTGCAGCCGTTTGGCGTTTATACGACGTTCCAGTTGGCGCAGTCCACGATACCACCTCCGTCGTTTCGGGTGAAAATGGGCTGAGCTTTCGTTTATCATTTGATGGACATCATCAGAGCTGGGTCTCATTCCGGTAAAAGGTAGATATAGAGTAGTTTGGTCAATTATCTTTCATACTGCTGGTGCTACTTTTGCTCGAGTGTGTGAGTGTGTGTATGTGTGTGTGTGTGTGTTAGCGTCTATACGCAATACCGGTCCTATATCAGAGTTATCAAAATGCTCATGTCAGGCTCTTGTCATCAAGGCCTAATGACCCAAGAGAAAGCCCTGACCGAGACTATATTAGTCCGTAAGCAGGTATGGTTGAGATATGAACTTGTAAGCATGCAAGTCAAGTTACGAAACCACTTGTCCTAACCTCTCAGTCTAGGGTCATTCATGTTTAACCCCCCAAGGAAAGGCATGATTGGGCTGTGTAATCTGGCACGTCTGGTTTGGTTGCTGAGCTTAATCTAATAACCCAACAATGTTAAAGTAAGTATACCAAAATACCCGATATCCCAGAGACATATTCGAATTGAAATATATTTATCGCTTTCCATTCGCCCGAAGAAAGGACGCCCCAAGCTATAGACCCAACTGCTATGTTGGCCTCGCTCGATCCACTCCTTTGCACCCATTAAGCTACACTACGCCAGTCAGTTAGTCTGGCTTATAAGGCAGAACAAGCGTCTCTCTGCTTCATTTTGGGAAAACTTTGTTGCGATAGGCCAACATATTTAGCTGACGAGCCGTCAATCTCCGAACAGATATGCAACAAAATCTCTCACTTACTGCAGAGATCAGCAACTTCTAAAGTATACTCATCAGCCACGATCGCCTAACTATAAACATTCCTTATTTTTAGTATCTTAGTAAAATTTCGAGACTACTACTAAACCAGTAATATGAGATGTACTAATCCTACTTCGTTTAAGGTGATGAAGGACTGGTAGTAGAATTTTCCCACAATGGTATGAGTAGAACTGAAATTTCCATTGAATTTCACAAAGCCTTTCTTTCCCTAAAGTTGTTCTCATCCGGGCTGAAGTA